GGCGTTAATAATACAGTTTTTGGAATAGATGCTATGAACCCATCTTCGAGAGATGACTTCACAGAATTCGGAAAGTTACTAAAAGATAAAATTACACAATATGAAAAGTCACTATATTACGCCAGCTTTTTGGAAGCCTTAGTTCGAGATGTGTGTATTTCATTGGAAATAGATGACTGGAAAAAGATTACCAATTCTTTGACTGTGCTTTGCAGTGAAAAACAGAAGCAAGAAAAGCAAAGCAAAGCTAAAAAGAAGAAGAAAGATGTGGTTCCTGGAGGGGGGTTAAAGGCGACCATGAAGGATGACCTGGCCGACTATGGTGGTTATGACGGAGGGTACATACAAGACTTTGAAGACTTCATGTGACAGCGTTTTACCTTCTCCTGGTGTCTTCTTTCTGTTGCCCACAATCCCTTCAACATGTAGCACAACTTCCTTTCCTTTCAGTTCTGCCAAATGCTACAATCAGAAGTGCAGTATCTTTTGTGCTGGTTATTTAACCCCTTGACTCTTAGGTGCTAATGTGCAAATGAGGGAACTTGGATCTTGCTGCCAAGGGGTTAAAATCGGGAACCTCAGTTGCTACTAAATCATAGTAAAAAAAAATCCTAATAATGTTGTCATTGTTGCTATCTGATTCCATAGCAGCAGTCACTAAATTGGAAACAAGGTTGCAACGTGACAAAAAATTGTGTAGTATTTACCAGCACCATTCAGTAATACAGCCTTAACCATACCTCCTTGAACTACTTCATAACCTGTCAAGAAAAGCAGTTTGCAGCAAGGGCATGTGGTGTGCACCTAGTATTAAAATTGCTTTGTCTTAAAATTGAGCTTGAGGATATTAAAAAATATGTTGTGAAGACTGGTTATCTCAGAGTGAAGATACTGCGGCTGAAAAGCCACTAGTTTGATACTTAAAAAATAAATGACCAAAACCCTCCAACTTTGAAACTGAAGAAGGTAAAACCTCTCCATTGCATTTCAGGTTGTGGAATCGCGAGTGCAAAGACTGTCTAGATTATATTTATCCGAATATTTCTATGGGTGGAGTGCTTTGGAGGGGGAGGGAAACTGCCTGTTTTTAATTGCCTGGTTTAGATCTTGAGACATCCTTGTTTCTTCTAGGCAGCAGCAACGGAACAACTGTAACAGGGTTTTGGCATTTCCTTTCCTTTCCTTTATAAAACATGCTCAGCAAACTGCACCCGATAACTACAGTTTGGTATAAATTGTTACGTTAACAATTATGACATCTGCAATGTTTTATAAAGCAACTAATTTAATAAAATCACTATTGTGAGGACTTAAAAAAAAGAACCAAACACCACTCCTCTGTCTCCCAGCGGGTCCACCCACATGCAGCTATGCCCACATAGGAGTACCCACCATGAAGACTGTTACCCATGCTACACCATGCTACAAGACAAAATTTCATTTATTTGTAATTAGAAATACATCTTTCATAATATATAATTACATGTTTTTGTGATTAATCACTATGCTTTAATTATGTTCAATTTGTAACAATGAAAATGCATCCTGCATATCAGATATTGATGTGATGATTCATAACAGTAGCAAAATTACAGTGATGAAGTAGCAACAAAAACAGTGTTATGGCTGGGGGTCACCACAGCATGAGGCACTGTATGAAAGGGTCGCGGCACGAGGAAGGTTGAGAACCACTGCTCAGCATCTCTGCAGAGGGTTCTCTTCTTCTGCCCTTGTCACTGAGAGAGAAACGAAGATTGAGCAAAGGTAAGGCTTTGCTTGCTTATGTCACAAAGACGAACTTCGTTTAAGACATTATTTATTACAGTGAAAACATGTGCAGTCAGCCCTGTGAGAGCCGGAACTCCGTGGACTGCCTAGTTTTTCCAGACCTGGCGAACTGTCCGCTGTTGGCAGAGTGCACGGCACACTTGGCTCTCGCTCTCTCTTCATAGACCATATTTAGAGTTTCCTCCCCAGACCAGAAAACCTAGCCTTTGCCACTTCAGTCTTCACTGGCGGGATTCTATGACACGGTTGCAGTCGTGACATTGTGCATCCACCACCCCGTATCCTGTTCCAAATGCTTCCACCACCGTTGGCAGGACTCTGTGCCCCTCAGCTGTGGCTCCCCCTTTCTTCCTGCCTCCCACATGCTCAGTCATGACTGATGAGCTTCGAGCTGTACGCATTTGCCTCGTTCCTGTCAGTGGGACCCTGCCAAATCTGCCCTTTTGTGACTGACGGACTGACTGACTTCACTCAGCGTGATAGCTCAGGCCCGTCCCTGTGGCAGCATGCTTGGCGACTTCATTTCTCGGTGTGACAGACTACCCCATTGGAGGGACCACACTGTGTCTATCCTCTCCTCTGGGGAGGGGCACAGGAGGTGTCCTCCCACCCCTTTGGGCTGCTGTGAACTGTGCTGTTGTGGACGCTGGTGTAAGAAAGATGAGCTCTTCTTCCACAACACGTACAGCTCCAGCTTCTTTCAACGCTAGGTTGACAGGCATTTCTTATGCAACTGTCTTTACAGACCCATGTCAAATTGCCATGTGAACAAAACACATTGTCTTAAAAAAAAAACTTTTAAAATTTAAAAACAACATAATGATGCACTATGAACTTATAAATGAAACTATGATACTGCCTATTTACATAAAATGTGTAATATTTAACATTCTACAACATTTGAGATATTGGATTTGACATATCATAAGGGTCGCTTGGTCGGTCAGCGTGACAGCTTCTGCTGCATTCTCTCTTTGCATTTGATGTTTACTTTTTAAGGATTTTTTTATCACTTTTACATTTATTACAGCAGTAATGCATTCACACATGAAGCCAATATATCAGGATTAATATACGATTTAGATTTGTGTCAAATTGACATGTATCCATAGAAATACCACATAAAGAATTTCGAGATTAGAAGACTTAGAATAAAATCAATTTGGACCTATAGTTGTCTCAGTATGTGGATAAAAATCAGCATAAGTGGAAGGTGGTCAATGTAAGCGGTTTCTGAAATTTCCATTGAGGAGATCGAAATGCATCAAAATGACATCCTGTAAACCTAGTGTTAACCAAGGTCCTAGTGTTAGGCATTTACCTTTCAAGACCACACTTGGGAGAACTAGCTGAAGGTGTTTTCCATTGCTCAGGCTCTCCCCTCACTTCCTCCTGCCCTCTCTCCGCCCGCCTCTACCAGTCAGCTGTGACTCACATCAATTTCCCTCTGGGTGTCGCGTGACTGTGGCTCCCGGAGCCATGGCCCAGTCTGGAAGTGAAACCGGCAATATAAACGCAGTGGGGGCTTGGCATGCAACTTGAGGAAGTACCTGTCAAAAACAAAAGTCAGACCCAGCACCGCATCCGACAACATGCAAGCTCCCCTGATGAACGGGTGGCGGCTGCGTTGACCTGGAATCGACCCTGGGTCTTCCCCCATGGAAGACGAGATCTCTACCACAGAACCACCTCTGCCTCTCTGCTTTATCACAAAGCTTCTCAGAGGAAAGACATGCATATTTTTCTATGCCTAACGTACAGGTTACATGGTTTGGACAACCATGAGCCCCCTTTCCCCATGCTGTTTCAGCCAGGTATACATGTGGGCACATAACTTACATAGATGCTTAGCTTGCTGGCACATGCGGTCCCTGGAGAAAAGGAGTAGGTTATGCAGGATCACTGAGCTAGAAGGCACAGAATGACCGCTCGGCCTTGTCCCTCTTTGCACTGCAGGGCTTTTACCGGGTGTGTCCTTATTTTCTCCTGAATCAGGCAAAACTGTTGTGTTTGTAAGAAGCTTTTGGTAGCCTTACGCTGTAGATAAAATGCACGTGGAGCTTCTCATCGATACCATTTTCTCAGAGACACATCTTGTTTTGTGAGAAGGAAAGAGAGTCATAAAGATTCATCTGCTCACTGTGCCCTCTGTCGGAAGGGCTTCTCTTCACCACCTCCATGACTGAGTTGCGATTTGTGAGGCAGAACACTCAGCTGGTCCAATGCTGTCTTTGTGAGCTTTTCAGCATCAGTGCTATTTGTTTGGTCCTATTCCAGGTCTTAAGAGATTTCAGAATAAGGATGTTGCTTCACCCTACAGGTGCTTCTATTGAGAAATGTCGCTGGCCATCACCTGTATTGTCAATTTGTCATACTGTGGGAGCTTGCATGTTGCTGTGATGCTGGAAGCTAGCTCACCGATTGTGTTAGTCTGGGTCGAGTAGAGAAACAAATTCATCGACATGTATGTACAAAAGACCTTTATATAAAAGAGCAATTGTATATTGAGAAAACATCCTAGCCCAGTCCCGATCAAGTCCATAAGTCTGATACTAATCCATAGGTCTGATACCAATCTACAAATTCCTCTTCAGGCTCACACAAAACATGCAATGATGCCGAATGCAGGAGGATCACAGCCCGGTGGGTGGAAAGTCTTGTGGATCCAGTGGCAGTGGAAGCATCTCGGCGCTGGCAGGGGTCTCCAGGGCACTAGCGAAGCTCTGTGTGTCTTGTCAGTAAGAATGCCTCGCAGAGAGAGTGTATCTGACCTCCACTGAGCTATTTTCTCCTTTGCGCCTCCAAATAAGGTCATCAAGCTGTGACCTGATTGACCAGCTAGACTCCACCCCTTTGCAAGTTGACAGGAGATTATGTAGCTAACACACTGATATTTCAGATACCAGCAGGGTCAGTCTAAGGTGAACAGATTTCAGCGGAGCTTCTGGACTAAGAACAGACTGCAATGAAGGAATGTACACTGTCACTTCGGAGAGATTATTCATTGAAAACCTTATAAATACCAGCAGAACATTGTCAGATATAGGGCCAGAAGATGAGCCCCACACATAAACGTTTCTGCACATTTTAGCCTGTGTAAACTGTCTGGAGAAAGAGATAACATGAACATGTGTGTGTGTTATTTATTGATTGTAGAATACATTCATTGTTAGTCTTCTTCTGACCACTTCCTTTGTCATGGCAGGGCCGCAGGTGGTTGAGAATTTATTTCTGGAAGTGATCAGGGCCTTTTATGCATACTGCAGAGACGCCCTGGGCTCTGATCTTCAACTGAGCTACACTCAGAGTGGAAACTCACTGATAAGGTATGCCTTTGCTCTTCTCCCACCCCAATGCCGTGGTTGTTGTTGTTGTTCTGTTAGTTGCTAGAAGCTGCGAGGTGCTAGAGAAAGAAGAAATGCAACAGGTCGGACGCTGTGCTGTCAGTTCTGTGTGGCTGGCTCTGCGCATGACGCCCACTGGGCAAAGCCAGTCCACCGAACAAACTCACTTCTCTGTAGTCGATGACGACTCACAGGGCCCCTGTAGGACCGTGTATCACATCCTCTTTGGGTTGCTAGGGCTGTAACACTTTACGGAAGTAGAAAGTCCCATCTTTCACTTGAAAACTAGTCCAGGCACCAAAATAGAAAAAAAAACCAAACTCACTGCCATCAAGTTGATTACAAGGCAGAGCTGCCCCTGGGGGTTTCTGAGATAATTCCTTAGCAGTAGAGAGCCTCATCTTTCTCCCTCAGAGCAGCTGGTTGTTTCCAACTGCTAACCTTGGGGTTAACAGCCCGATACACAATCACTGTACCCTAGGGCTCCTTACAGCCAGTGTGAAATCCAAAATCTGCTTCCCTTTCCTGATCCCCCCAAGAGCCACGCTGCTCCATGCAGCCTTCTTCTCTCCAACCTCCAGTCACCCGGGGTTGGGTCAGCAGGCACCAGCCCCTTATGTTTCTTAGGTCCAATAATCTCTTGAAGGAGCCTGGGTGGCACCGTGGGTTAAGCATTGGGCTGCTAACCTGGAAAGGTTGGCAAACGCACCAGCATTCTGTGGGAGAACGATGTGGCCAGGCTTCTCTGTAGACAGAGTACCACCATAGAAACCCCACCAGGCAGTTATGCTCTGCCCTGTGGGGCCCCTGGGAGCTGGAACCCACTCAATGACAGCAGGGTGGGGTGCGTTTAATTCCTTGAAATGACTGACTGTAGGTAAAGCCTTTTTTTAATGTCATGAAACATATGCAGCAAAGTTGCCATTTTAACCTCTTCTAGGAGCACAAGTCGGGACGGGCACTAAGTTCACCATGCTCTCATAACCACGACTCCGCTGACTTTGCTTTTCTTTTTTGGTAGAGTGGTGGTGAAACTACACACACCCAAGTATCCCACCTCCCCCATTTCTCCAGGCACAGTCTACTTACAAAGTTGTGCCACCTTCCTTAACAGCCTTTCCCGAGCTCCTTCACCATCTTTGACACGAATCCACTGGCCTGCTAAGTTTCCCATCTGTACTCTCAAATTGCTATTGTCCATTTGAGCACAGCTAGATAATTCCGTAGAGTGAGTATAATCAGAGTGCAGACCTTCTTTGTTAACCATGGGACTCAATTATTTGGTTAAATGATGGCGAGATAGTTTGGGTTCAAGGTGGAAAGATTTTCATAAGGTAGTACTGTTAGTTTGTTTAGGAAATGGAGGTGTTTTCCATCCTCTGTGGCCCCAGAAATTCTGGACTTCAGGAGAATTTGGCATTCTGATCCTCACCAATCTTCCATTCTCCACAAAAGGGCTAACTTTAGTCTAGCAGGGAAACAGGGTACAGACACCAAAGGCAGGAGCCAAGAGGGATCTACCTGGGCCCAGAGCTTCTAAGCCTCATTCCAGGAAGTGGAAGTGCCACTGAGCTTCATCTTCCAAGGCCTTTATTGTAAGGTGACCAGATTTTAACATTGGTAAAGCAGGACAAAAGTGGGACACCATTGATAAAACTCATATCCTGGTGAAATAGCCACAAGGCAGCCAAAAACCGTATACCCTAGCTTGTCGTGCATTCTTTCCAAAAATCGGGACTTTTTAAAAACACCGCGGGACCGGGACAAATTGTTAAAAATTGGGACTGCCCCACCAAAAGCGTGACGTCTGGTCACCTTACTTTATTGGCATGAATGATGACAGCACACCTCCTGAGGCTTAGTCAGCATCCGCCCCAGGGGCTCCCTCCCCACCTCCCTCTTGGTCTGGTCAGCCCCAACTCATTGGCCTCAGGAGTGGTCCCGCTCCCAGGAAACGGGACCAAAGGGTGCATCATTTACTATATACAGGTGGGTTCCACACCTCGTAGACACTCATTAAAATAACCTCTGCTAATAAGTTAATCAGCATAGATGCTCACAAGGTAATGAGTGACCTTTGGTAATGTAGTGGTAAGCTTTGGGCTGCTAACTGCAAGATCAGCAGTTCAAAACCACCAGCCGCTCCATTGGAGAAAGACAAGACTTTCTAAGCCTATGAAGAGTTACAGGCTTGGAACCCCACAGGGGCTACTTCTACTCTGTCCTACAGGCTCACGGTGAGTCCGAATTGACTCAATGACAGAGAAGAGAGTTCCGTTAAATACGCTAATCAACACAAATTGGTTCTTCCCCTTTGAGTATCATGAAGCGTTTAAAAGATCTAGTTTCTTCCCCAACCTGAAATGTACCAACAGTATCTATTGCTGAACGATGACTATTGTTTAGCCAAGGCAACTGGATAGAGTACACCCAAGGAGTAGATTATGGGGGGAAGGAAGAGAGGGTTAGTTCAGGAAGTGGAAGCAGAGGTGAGGGAGAGATGAAGGACCAGGCATCCCTGGAGCCCCGGGGCAGAATTGGAAAGTAGGCTAGAACAGCAAACATTGGACTGAATATGTGTAGTTATCTATACATTTTACCTTTTGTTTCATAGTCCTTTAGTAGAGAGTGGAAGGATAGGTGAGGAACAGAATTTCAGACGGTCATGCAGGCCAGAATTTCTGAGACCACTGACGATGCATAATGCCTCCCTCCACAACCAAACTACCAGTGCTACCCTAAAAACATTTCCACTTTGAGCCCCAACTATTGATGCACTGTTGTTTCGTGAGCCGTGGTTTGATTCCCACTCACAGGAGGCCTGTAGGACAGAGTAGTATTCCCTCATAGGGTTTCAGCCTAGGTTGTGGTCACCAGGCCTTTTCGCCCATGGAGTTGCTGATGGATCCAAACCGCCAGCCTTTTGGTTACCAAATAAGTGCTTTAACCATTGTGCTACCAGGACTCCTCTTTTTTACCAGTAAAGGATCTAATTACCTACTGTTGAGATCGAACTGGTTTTGTCAACCAAATCCTTTCCATGATCACTCTCAAGCTTGTGTCTAAGAGAATGCATTCATGCAGATATTATTTAGGAAGGTGTTATGTAAAGTATTTCTTATATAAAAACAGGACTATTTTTAATCTTTATCAGGTGTGTCAGTGATAATGATAACATAGTGATAATGATAACAGTCAGTGATAAATGATAACACTTTTTACAACTTTAAAATTTGGCAATTTTCAGGCCGTCTCCCCATAGTTCGGTTTTTCCCTAGATTCACTTGTTTCTGCCCTCTCTTCTTTTAAAGCTCAATAAAAGAAAATCGGAATGCCTCTGAGATTGTTAAGACAGTGAATTTACTGATCACTTCCCTGAGCACGGACTTTCTCTGGGATTACATGATGCGGTGTTTTGAGGATTGCTTTAGGTGAGTGTGCAGTTGGTATTGTGGACCATCTAGGAGAGGTGAGAGGGTTTGAAGCTGGGGTCTTAGTGTCCTAATGCTGCTGTAGCCAAACTGCTCTCCAAGGGAGGCTTGTGAAAGAAAGCAAAGCCAGTTGCCATCAAGTCCATGCCAGATCACGGCGCCCGTCTGCTGAGTGGGACTGCTCCCCAGGGCCTGCAGGGCAGTCTGCCAGGCGTTTCTTTTGCAGGCCCTCTGGGTGAAGGCTCAAAGCTTCCTGACCCCACCCCCACCCCCCAGAGGTACTTCAGAAGAAAAGATGAGCAATTTACTTCCTCCCCAAATCAACCTTTCTAGTCCTTGAGCACAGCTCTCCCCTAATACACATGGGATCACCAGGATTTGGAATCTGTTCAGTGGCCACTGGCTTCGTTTTTATGTATTTTTTTAAATGTACCATCTAAGTTAATTCATGGACTAACCCGTGTTGAGCTATATTATCATGTTATCCAGATGGATCCAAAGGTATCCCATTTTGAGAACCAATGTATACTTATTCGCTTGTCTGTTACCTAAGTGCTTAAAACAAAGTGTTGGTTTTCAAAAATGAGCAGTTAAAAATAGAGTTGATCAGTGGAGTCAAAGTTTCGGGGGAAACTGAAGAATTTCCAGCAACCCAACTCTTGAGGAGCTTGTCCTGGCTCGCCTCTGGCCCATGTTGGATGGCTGTGGGGCCTGCTGTGTTCTGCAGCCCAGACCAGTTCACTTGAGCATAGCTTTGATTTGGGCTTGGAGACACTGGCCAGGCCCACTAGATGTGGAATCCCACATGGGCACGGGACCACTCTCATCTGAATTCCTGAACTTCAAGCCAGAGTGGATGGACCCTTTCTGGAGATGAGCACATTCGAGAGACTCTTACACAGTTTCAGTCAGCAACTTTGTTACTGGAGACACCTGGTTGCGTTATGTTTCAGTATGGTATATGCTACTGTAACAATAAGTGACTTTGCTGGGAATCCTAGCAAGTGGTTGCAATGGTTGGAGAAAGAGTGTGTTTGTTTTTCTCCCCTGTGATGGATGTAGGCCAGCGAAGCAGGGTGCCTCTGCCGGTAACAGCCTCAGCCCAGCACCCACGGCCGCGGAGCTCTGTACCCTCCTTGTCTTCCTGCTGGACGTTATCCCTTTGGTAAGGCAGCTTGGCCTAGAAGAGATGGCCTGGTGCTTGCTCTGACTTTATGGATGTCGCACAAACTTTCACTGACTCAGCGTTTACTGAGGCGCTGTTAGTTGTCAAGGAGTTTATTCTGACTGATGAGGGAGGCACTTAGGACTTAGAGGACCCCCTCGGGGTACACAGGCAAGTTGTGCTCCCTGAGGTTTTCTTGGCTGCAGTCTTAACTGAAGCAGACTGATAGGCCATTCTTCCACAGTACTGGGTGGGTTCGAACTGCTCACCTTTAGGTTAACAGTTCAGGGCAGACCACTTGTGTCACCTCTACAACACTATGTTAGTGCTTGTGCCAGCATGGCAGATATTGCTGGGTGTGATCTACCGTTCTCTCTTATGTAAGAGGGGGACTGCAGCTGATGATGCTTATACCAGGTGATGACTGGGCATGTTACTGAGGGGTGAGGGTAAATATGTTTCCTGGATAAACAGGTAACAGTTAGCTCATTTTCTTTACAGAAGTATGCAGTGATCCCTTGGTTGCCAAACTCAATTCGATCCAAACTCATGTTCGAGAATGAAACATATTTTTCCCATAAGAAATCATGGAAAATCAAATAATTAGTTTTGAGACCCCAAGATTATACTTTAAATTTTCCCCAGGACTTTGAATCACTATGGGGGCTTTTAGCCTTCTCGAGTATCCCTAACCCCCATACACTATCGCCATCGAGTTGTTTCTGACTTATCCAAATGAACAATAACTTCTCAACCTCGTCAGGGGTCTGGTTAGTTGTTTCGTGATTAGCACTTTCACACCTTCAATACATTAGCCACTTTAATCACCTTTCCCCCCAGAAATTTTTATAATATTGACTGAGCCATGTTGTATTCAGCCACCAAATCAGACAAGCAGCTACCTGATTCAAATTTTGCAACAATTTCTTTCTTTCAGTCTATCGTGGTTCTCAGTTTTTCTCTTAGCATTCCTGCTGGTATCACGAACTTTCTTCGAAGCCCTGATTATGATATTTTTATGTAAATAAAATGGGGGAGACACAAGGGTGAATTTTTCCCTTTTTTTCCCATTGATAATGGTTGCTTCTTTAATTTCTAGGTCCAATCTTTTACAGATATTATATACACATATTACCTATTACAATCATTAGTTATATATAAAATTTAAAATCATATTATTAGTGATTTGGCTCACTCATTGTGAGACGTCTTCATTTCCTATAACACTTTTAATCTTATAACATGATAACCTCTTAACATTTTTCTACCGGTTTTTTTTTTTTCCTTCTTTTTTTTTTTTAATGTCTTACCGCACTAACAAACACCACATGTTCTCTGAGCGAGAGTGGCGCTGAAACTGAAGCGTCACTCCTTTGTGTCCGCAGCCAGACGCCCCATGACTCACTCTCATTGGTACAGGGTTTTTAGAGCTGGATTTTTTAATTCAACTATCAAGCAAAGTTACGAACACCACACGGATTTTTTTCTAACTTTGATGTCCGAGTAGTGGAAAGTTCCCGCTTGCAGCTGTTTCACAACCAAGGTATCACTACATTTTCTCAAGATAGAAGTAGATGTCATTCTATTATTTTACATTGCACAGGGTAAGTGCCGCTTGGAAGGAAGGGAGGAATGCCCATTTATTTATTTGGACTAAAAGGAAACATGAGTATGGTTTTTCCTATTTTGGAATTAGCGTGAAGCTTGTACTTTAAAAACAGGAATTTTATAAGATACCATTTTGAGGCGGTGTGGGTGGTGATTTTGTGTTGCCTTGTTCCTCATTGTTAACTGAAAGCCTGGTTTTGTTGACAGGAGCTTTACTCCGAGGTGCAGACCCAGTATCTCCCGCAGGTGCTCAGCTGCATGGTGCAGCCCCTGGCCGAGGACGTGGCGGCTCTGAGTTTACCTGAGCTCACTCAGGCCTTAAAGACGTGCTTCAAAGTGCTCAGCAAAGTCCAGATGCCACCTTCCTACCTGGACACAGAACCAGCCAGCGAGAGCTCGGTGTGTACCCCATGGAGCCCAGACTGTTTTCTGTGTTCACGTGAAGCACATGCGTCTGGAGAACTAGAGAGTAGAGTGGTTAGGAAAGGAATAATGATTAGTAGCCTTGTGGCCATGCCTAAAATAGGTCCCCTAGACCCTAAAATGTTATTATAAAATATTTTAGCTCAAAAGTTAGCCCCCTTCTCTTTGCCAAGTCCTTCCAAGCAACTTCCCTGCCAGAGGTCGGAACAACAGATAGTGGTGAGACAGGCCTAGCTTGCAAGTCCCTTTTCATGCGTGTGCTTATCCGCATGCCCACGTGGACCCTGACAGTGTACCTGAAGATGACATCCCAGAGAGGGAAACGTGGAAGAGCCGGTGAAACGGTCCATCATTGGGCTTCTGGGCAGGGGAGGGGAATGAAGAATGTGGAGCGCAGGGCCTTTTGAGGGCAGAGAACCTATTCTGCAGGCTGCTGTCGCAGTGGACACATGACACGATGCACCGTCCAAACGCACAGACCGTACCGCCCCATTGTTGCCCATGGACTTGTCTTAATAGGGCCTGGTCAACGTGGGTCCCTGGCTGTGTACTGCAGGAACCCAAGGGGCTCATTAGAGGAGAAGCAGCATGTAGGAGGGAGAAGGGCAGGCGTGAATTCTCTGTGCTTTCTGTACCACTTCTGTGGACCTAAGGGTGCTCTATAGAATAAAATCCTTTTTAAAAGAAAAGGGAAGGTTTAGACTATAGGAGGTAGGCTTCACAAAGCTCCTGGGAGGAAATTGACTTGAAAGATAGTGGATTTTTCCCACCAACTCTTTGCAGCCCCCTGTGTACTCGTAAGCATGAAACCGCACCTGTCACCATTGCGTTGGTTCCAACCCGCGGTGACCCTGGAGCACAGAGCAGAGCTGCCCCTGCAGGGGTTCCTTGTGCTTGGTGCAGTCGACACCCAGTCAGGTCAGGGGAAATGAGGACGACCTTCAAGGAGATGGATGGACCCCTGGCTGCCAAAATGGGCTGGACACAGGCCCGATTGTGAGGATGGGGCTGGGCTGGCCTCGTTTCCTTCTGTTGTACACCGAGTGACTGTGAGTGGAAACCGGCTGAACCGGCCCTGACAACCATCCTTATGGAAGCTGACTGCGTGTCTCATTCCCCCAGGGCAGCTGGTACATGCAAACAGCTGACCTGGTGGTTAGCAGTCAAGTGCATACCCACTGTACTGCCAGGGCCACTTTTTTAATGCAAAGGATCTTCAAAGACTTTATGGAAACATTCCAATTTTTCCATGAACTTTTTTCTTTTTCAATTTAAGGGGAACATTCATTTATTAAGTCTTAAAAGGGACAACAACTCACACAAAGACACAGACACATCTTCTGGATGAGGGAGGCCATTAGCACAGGGTCTGAATGGCGTCCAAGGATTCACAGTCAGGACAGTAGTTAAGGCATAAAACAAAGAAAATTGTCACAAACTTATGATTGGTGGCAAATTGATCCATCATGGTTACAGGTAGGACTACAGAAGTAGGAACAAGGCCATGATTGGGACATGTACATCGTGTTAGATAAAAGACTTATACCCATGAAGGCCTTCCTCTACCAGACTCTTTAAATATGAGTATAGAGAATTTGTCCACATACATAAACACAACAAGTAACTTGAGATTATCCACCATTATCTGGCTTGCATGGGTTCTCATCAGTAATGTTTGGGGACATCTCTCTACACTGATCTATCGGGAGGCTTTACTATATGCAGGAGAGTCTGTGGTCCGGATTCATGCTTCTCCAGCCCTCCTCCATGGATGTTGGTGAGCTTGTGTCCTTTTCCTCACCGGGATGAACAGCTATCTCCATTATCCCAGTGCGGGCAATGCAGCCCAAGAAACACATGCTCCTTTTAATGTGGGGAGCTGTGTGCAAATGGCCCCCCAGAAAGACAGTGGTCGTCATGGTCCTCCAAACCACTTGAGGACGGTCTGGCTTGTTTAGGAAGATCTGTTCAGCACAGTGGCAGGTGAGGAGGCAGGCGAGAGCACCGGCGAACGTGTCCGCTTTGCATCCTGGTTCATGTTTGGCGGCACAAGAACTTCCCAACAGGACTTGAATTCCAACTTAAAGTCTAATCGCTGATTTGCTACCTCATGTTAGAAATGGACTCCTTTTGGGGCCTAGCTCCATCAGCTGTTGAAGAAGGGAAACCCTGAGGCAGATTTAAGGTGCCCAATGTGAGCATCACATAGTCTACATACGTAAATACCTGTATGCTCCAAAACTTGCATAACGCTCTCTGGTTCTTCCCTACAGAGCAGTGCACATGGTAAGAGTTTCAAATTCAATGTCACATCATTTAAGCAGCAGTGTAACCAAAAGGAAAAGTGATTCCTTCAAAGTTAAAGGACCGTCACTCTGGACAAGTCACAAATACATATATTTTTAGCTGACAGTTCTAGCTTTCTCCTCGTGTCTTATTTTTTATACCGTTACTTGATACTCCATTTTACAATTGATGATTTTAAACTCCTTTATTGAACCCAGAAAGGTCTAAGTAAATCATCTGAAGTCTCCCCAGAAGCAGGATCCCCGGTGTCGTCGTGGTTATGTGTTGGGTTGGGAACTGGAGGGTCAGCAGTTGGAAACCAGAGGCAGCTGCACCCAGGGACACCCACAGGGCAGTTTTACCAGTCCGTGAGGGGCTCTCTGGGTCGCAGTCCACTCCGTGGCAGGGACTTTGGTTTTGCTTGCTTGCTTGTTTTGAGCCTCAAAAGCCGCTTCCACAAAGAGTACGGGGCCTGGCAGTCTCCTGCTTGTTCTCTCTCACCCTCCCCTCCCCTCTCCCTTGTGTGTCCCTCCCCCTTTGTTCTGTACTTTGATCCAGGGACCATCTTCTCATAGATAGTTGGACTTCCTAATCCCAGGAAGCACACCCTCGCGGTTTGCCCGATTTGACAAGTGCGGAAGCCCTTGCTCTTACAAAGCACACAATGCAAGTTTTCCTTTCTTGCAGAGTCCGGTGAAAGGCGACAACGAGGAGATCATTTTGGACACCCAGGCTGTGATTCCAGGCGACGAGGACACGCCGCCGTTTCCACCACTGAAGTCCGAGGACAGTGGGATCGGGCTGAGCGCCTCGTCGCCGGAGCTCTCGGAGCACCTGCGCGTCCCCCGGGTCTCCCCAGGGAGGGACGACGTGTGGAAACAGGGTGGGAGCATGCAGCAGACCTTCCACCGCATCCAGGAGCTCATCGCCAACTTTGCCAACAAGCACATTTTTGGCGTCCCCCTCCCAGCCTCTGGAGAAGAAGGCAAGTCAGAAGAGCCGGAAGGCAAGAGGGACAAGAGCGGGGCCCGGGACACCATCTTCGGGGACGCCAGCAGGAAGAACTCGTGGGACGCCAAGGCCATCACCGTGCCCCAGTTCAAGCAGATGCTTGCAGACTTGTTCACGGTCCGAGGTTCTCCGTTCAAGACAAAAAGTCTGGCATCGCCGTCGTCTTTGTCCAGTAGCCCTGGCAGGAGGAAGGAGGGAGAGTGGGATGTTGCCCAGGTGGTCATTGACCTGGAGGGCTCTCAGGAAGAGTGCAGGGAGGCCTTCGCCGCCGCCTGCCACCTGCTGCTGGACTGTGCCACCTTCCCCGTCTACCTGTCCGAGGAGGAGCTGGAGCAGGTTTGCCAGACACTCTTCCAGCCTCTCGGTGAGACAGCAGCCTCATGTCAAGTCTCTCTCCGTCTGTTGCCATACAGCCAGCCCTGTTCACAACACACATAACCCTGTTCACGACGCTGCCTGGTCCTGTGCCACCCCTGGGGTCCATCGTGGATCGGACCACCGTGATCTGTCCGTCAGGTTTTCACTGGCTGATTTTTCAGAAGTGGACAGCAGACCTTTCTTTCCCAATATCACTTACATGAGTGATGTTTACAGACCAGCTAAAATCATCTTTCCCAAGAAGGGACTCTTAATCACACCTCGCTCTTGTAGCGTTTCATTCATTGTGTGGGTGGTTCACTCATGTCTCACTGCATTCCAAGTGGTTAAGGGGCTGAGCCAGTAGTTTCAGATCTTGGGTGAGTGGCCCTGCGGTGCTTAACAGCAATCTGTTGGCCTATTTGGCCGATTCCGTGAAGATTTTATATAAGGCAGTGGGCATTTCAAAGAGCAAAAGAGGCAAGGAGGGGGAAAGGAACGACTGATTAGATTGGTGGAAACTCTGGGCAAAAAAACTTCCTCTCCTGTTGTCATTACGTTCATGTGGAGCTGGTCTCTTGGCCCATGTTAGCTGCAAATGATGCTTGGGAGAACATTTAGGATGGATACAACCAGGGTGTTTTTACTCTTTTAAAGCTAATCCCAGAGCAGTAGGACCCAGGTTCCTAAGTTCATCTCCCAGCCAATGTCTTTCATGGGCGGCCACCACCTGTCCACCAGGGGAGGCTTGTGTGTTGCTAAGATGCCGAGCAGTTTCATTGACACTTCCAGATGAAGATGGGCCAAGAAGAAAGGCCCCGTGCCTGTTTCCAAAAGCAAGCCAGTGAAAACCTGTGGGATACAGTGGTGCAATCTACATGCTCCTGTGGAGATGGTGCAGGGCCAGGAAGCATCCCATCGCCTTGTGTGTCAGGTCCCCATGAGTTGGGGGCCAACGCCATGACAGTCAACTACCACATGTAGCATGTCCCCTACTGCAGAGAGCCTCCAGAAACACATTTTGAATTCTGTCCCCCGAAATGTGAATTTCATTGTATGTAAATATTGAAAAGCAAACAGTCCCACCAAAAAATATTTAGAATCATCCACGAGCCCTTAGACCAGCGGTTCTCCACCTGGGGGTTGAACGACCCTTTCACAGGGGTTTCCCAATTCATAATAGTAGCAAAATTATAGTTATGAAGTAGCAATGCAAATAATTGTATGGTTGGGGGTCACCACAACATGAGGAACTGTATGAAAGGGTCACAGCATTAGGAAGATTGAGAACCGTTGCCTTAGACTGAGATGTGCAGTTTGGGATACTCTGACAAACATACGACACACCCCAGGCCCCGTTGTTCCCTCTGGCCTGAAAGCTGACAGTTTATCTGTGCCCTCTGTCAGGAATGGGTACATTGCTGACCATGCGACTTCCGGGCTGGGAGGGCACTGTTGAACGTGAAAACTGGAGAGGGGGGCACCCTGGGGAGCCCCTGGCCCGTGGTGCTGTTTGTTTCACGTGTGATTTCTCTGGCCCGCTCCCTTCCAGGAGAGTGCGACTCCAGCTTCCCACCATGGCTGAAGGCCCTCATGACGATTGGCTGCTGCGTGACCGACTGCTACCTGCAGAACGTGGCCATCTCCACGCTGCTGGAGGTGATCAACCACTCCCAGTCCCTAGCCCTCGTGATCCAGGACAAGATGAAACGCTATAAAACCTCTGGACACAACCCGTTTTTCGGCAAGCTGCAGATGGTTACTGTCCCTCCGATTGCTCCAGGGATCTTGAAAGTCGTGGCGGAGAAAACAGACTTCTACCAGGTATTTCCCAGGTCTTCCCAGATGGTGTGTTCATCCCTCAGGTGGCAGCTGCGGGCCGAGACAAGGAATATGGTGGCTGGTAACGTTCAGAACCACTGCCCTGTCTGTCTCTGATTCCAGGCTCTTGGCCCAATTCCCGGCCCTGCAGTGGGTATTCAGTAAATACTTGGGTTCCATTTTAGGCTTACCAGACATCACATGTGAGGGCTTTTTAATTCTCTAAACACACAGTAAAAGGAGCCCTGATGGCATAGTGGTTACACTTTGGGCTCCGAACCCCATGGTTGGTGGTTCGAAACCACCAGCAGCTCTGAAGGAGAACGTTGTTCTCGGAGCCCCACAGGAGGGTTGCTATGAGTCAGCATTGACTCGATGGCAGTGAGTAAACAGATAGCAAGAAGAGGGCGGGCCCTAATGTGCAAGATGAAAGGCTTTGAGGTGATTGCGCTTCAGTAAAGGATCTCAAGGCTCACTTTAATTACTTGTCAAGTTTTAAAAAGCTGACTGCTGAAGAGGGTGTGCCAGCTTTGTCCATCTTGCCTTGGGGACAAACTATGAAAACAGCTTAGAATGAGGCATTGTAGGTTTCCTTTGATTGCAAGAAACTGAAAGCTCTTCCAGTTAGTGATGATAAGATTGAAGTTCATGATGAAAATGAAGGATCAAACCAAACCAAACCTGTTTCTGTCAGCTCGGCTCTTCATGGCTCCATAGGGCTATCCTGTAGAACTGCTCCATAGGGTTTTCCTGTAGAACTGCTCCCTAGGGTTTTCCTGTAGAACTGCTCCATAGGGCTTTCCTGTAGAACTGCTCCCTAGGGTTTCCTGTAGAACTGCTCCATAGGGCTTTCCTGTAGAACTGCTCCCTAGGGTTTTCCTGTAGAACTGCTCCATAGGGTTTTCCTGTAGAACTGCTCCCTAGGACTTTCCTGTAGAACTGCTCCCTAGGGTTTTCCTGTAGAACTCCATAGGGTTTTCCTGTAGAACTGCTCCCTAGGTAGGACTTTCCTGTAGAACTGCTCCCTAGGGTTTTCCTGTAGAACTCCATAGGGTTTTCCTGTAGAACTGCTCCCTAGGACTTTCCTGTAGAACTGCTCCCTAGGGTTTTCCTGTAGAACTGCTCCCTAGGACTTTCCTGTAGAACTGCTCCCTAGGGTTTTCCTGTAGAACTGCTCCATAGGGTTTTCCTGTAGAACTGCTCCCTAGGGTTTTCCTGTAGAACTGCTCCCTAGGACTTTCCTGTAGAACTG